TGCTCATTTTATGATGATATGGACACACAGCATTTCTGGAGTTCACTTGCCAGGAACAGTCATGCGCAGTGTAGCATAGAGACACAGACGGACATGCTGTAATATCTTCTGCCAATGTCAAAACCGAAGGTAAAATTTACTGCATCACTTTTGATGATGAACAAAACAAGATCATCCATTTACTTGATTTCAAGTGTAATCCTTGGACTCAGTGTCAGTATAATCATATTAGGAGAGGACTTAACCCTAACCCCAACTCATTTTGAAATTGGAGGATTAAGGAGTGTTTAGCGTGAAGGAAAACATTTCATGTAATAACTACATTAAATTGTCTATTTCGACATGGGCAACCATTCATGTTCTCATTTGAGTAAAGCTCTCCTAGAAGCATTACGCCATGGATAGTAGCATTGTGCAGCATATATGGCACACAGGGACAATCGCTCTTTTTTGACCCCCATTTTGCCTGTCACAGTGGTAATCAACTTCGGTGTCAAACCCAAGTGGATGATAACGTACCGTGGATCCCTAAACTGAACATCAAGCAAACTGCATCTCATTACGCAAGGACCTAGGAATCGGGAGACAGTAGAATTGTATTTCTCACATACAGGTTTCCATCTCAATAAATCTCACTTAGAAGCCTTTTTATGCCAGTATAACTGAAGGGCCCAGACAGCTGAGACTTCACCCCTCCCTCGGCCTAAGGACAGATTTCCTCATAAACCATGTTTAAAATCCTTTGGGCTGTTACACCCTAACAGTCAGGAGAGCGTGCAGACAAGTTACGCCCACTTTGGCCCCGCGGTGCTGCTTTCACCCAGGTCATTGTACAAAGCCCGGTTAAGCAACAAAAGACAAGGTACCTAATTAGTGAGGCTGCATACACCCCAGGGCTACACCAACCAGTGCTCAGGCATCCCCTCAATATTCCAGTTGAAAGCCTTCCCCCTTGTAACAATATTTACACGAGTTGCTAGACTGTGCTGATGGCTGGGGGCTGCTTCAATCTTTATATCACCATGTAAAACCTCATTGAGCATCCTTGAGGCTGTTACTTTTATTTACACCAGTACCCAGTTCACTTGATCTTCTTCACCCCCTCAGTCCAGGTGTTGATTCAGTTGGGTCCATATTCATTCTAGGTACTAATCTTGGTTGAAGACCTTAGCAGATTTTTCTTTTGATATTTGGTCTTCGATTTTGTTCTCTAGGCTTTCACTCTTTCAGAAAGTGATATCTGATCATTTCTGTGCTGTGTTTGATTCTACCAACGTTTCTCCACATAGCACAAGGCTGTTGTCCCTTGAAATGTGCCATCTATTGATGAGATATTTTCAGCGTGGATATTTGCGTGGGTAACAAATATCAAATTGGGTAGACATGTTCAGTGTGGCTTGCACCACGCTCGAATGAACCTGTTCGTGCAGGCAAGGAGTTCCTACCAAAGGGGCATTGTTGCTATGGAAAAAAATGCTATCTCTTTGTTCTTGCACAGAGCAGATACCAATTAACAACCAGGCAGCCAGACTGGCGGATTCAGTCGGTGGGTCGGGACGCGGTTGACAAGTGAGGATTCTCTGTTTGCAAGCAATTCCTGCACCCAATTTTGCGGCATTGCTTACCATTAAGCAAATTTTTATAACACAAAAATGTGTTTTTCGGTAAGCGTATTGCATAGCAAACATTTCACAGTCTCTCTTGCGTCACTAAGTTAAGCAAATTTTTCCATTGAGGTTAGGGTGCCTTTTGCTGTGCTTACTAGTTACAGTCTCCATGAAATACGGGAGGCCTCTGTTAGCATAAATGGTATACTTATAGCAACTCTGGAATTCAGCCCTATTGAGTATTTAAACACATCAATGCACATACACGTTCCCATGGATATGACATTGATTATAGCACATATTTATAGGCATGCTAGCTCATTGTGTGGCAATGTTGTTCAAACTTACCCAACCTGGTTCTTTCTCACCTCTGATGAGGGGGTTCTTGCATGTGGGAGTCCATTCCCTAGGGGATTCCAGGTAGCACCTTGGCCAGGTTGCGTTAATTGCTTCTCACAATGAACAGGGGATAACCAGACTGCACAGACCAAAACCAGTGAGGAACTCTTTTTTTTTCAATTCCCTTGGTGGTTCAGAACCAAGATAAGGAAAGCTCCATGTACATCATTGCGGTTGATACCCATCGATCCATCAAAGGGCTGATGGTATCGGGAAACACTCGCCTCCTCAGGGATGCGGGGAGGAAGTGAATGCAGTAGTCATAGGGGGTTTCTTCCATAAGATGACCCAGACGAGTGTGGCCGTGAATCAGTCAAACACTGAAGTTTCTTTTAGAGTCTGCGATGAGAAACATGTTTTTCCATATCTTTGAGATCAGTTCAGACACCAGAAATGCACAAGATCAGATCGGGCTTAAACTGTGGGTTTTCGGTCCGTGCGAACTTTTATCCCTGTCACTCTTCTCTCAGGAATTTTTGTGATTATCCTGCAGTGGGACTGGATGTTAGTCAGCAGTTATTTTTTCTCTCTGGTAATCCACTGTTACCCACTTTTTGTGGTACTAAAGGGAGCAGCTTTGGAAGTGTTGAAACCAGTTGCAGATAGTACTTGAATTTGAATGATTAAATGTGTGTGAAGCTTTACAAGAACTAAGTGATGATAAAGCTTGAAAGGTTCATTAAAAATGACCCAGCATTTATCCTTAGGCAGCCCCTTGGTTTCTTCTCCATATAGGCTGATCTTTTGTGACTTTTTGATCACTTAGGACCCGGTACTTGTTTGAAGAAGCACTTTATTTACAGCTTTCAAGTTTGTTGGTTTCATTCTTCTGACAATGCATCAGAGCCATAAAGATGGACAGAAATGACTAATCAGATATCATATACAAACATGTACATGTCCAGTTTTTGGTGTGTGTGTGTGTGGGAGTGGGGGGAGAATTCAAAAATGAATGCCGGGCTTTGGGCCTACATGTATTTATGATGGGGGGGGTTAAAATATCAAAACCTTACTCAAAACTCCATGGGGGGGGCAGGTACGCCATCGATACAAGTACGCAACCAGAGATGAAATTGGCAAGTCATCAAGTGCTGAGTTCAGAAAACCTCTGAAATGAATAATTTCCCCTCACATTTTTATTTGTCAGTTGTAATTTTTTTCTGTTGGAGAGACAGAAGTTCAAGCCATGGTTTTTATGGGCTAAAGGTGACATTCTGTCCATCAGGACTGTCTCCCAGTGGACCCTTTTCCTATGAGTAATCCAGCCATGAACTCATTCGACAAATTGCTGACCGTCATAAAAACCCAGCAGTGGCCCTGCATGATTAATTTCTGCTGTTGGACCAAATTGCTGGGGACCGCACTAACATTTTTTGGTGATTATGCCATCAGAGCCTCTCAGTGACCCTGAACTCCATCTTAACTTTGCATCCTGAATATTTTTCAGGGCCGGGAGGTATTTCCCTGCTGTTGGGGGGAAAAAAGTGGCAGTTTTGACATGAAACAGGGACTCCTTTCTACACCCTCCAAAGAAAAAAAAAAGGAACTGTAGATTAGGGAAATGAATCGCATTGGAAATGACAGAACATAAATTTTCATGCCAGAAACTTCCAGTGTGGATGTAATTATGTGGTCCTTATGGAATGCATACCTTTACAGGGGAAAAACATTGTGGAAACCTGGCAGTGCACTTTTCCGATTCTCTTTCCCAAAGCATGTGCAAGTAAAAAAATCAATTTCCTTCCAAATTGTTAGTTCAATACAGGTTTTGAATTCCTTGAAGAATTAATTCTTTAAACTTCTTGCAATGTTTTGTAGAGAACAGTTGGCATTTTGTTTCTGTAAAGAGGATGTTCAGGGTATACCTTTTGACTTTCACATATTGTCGGCTCTAATTAGGAAAAATACTGCCCAGCAATTGATTGTGCAATTGCAGAGAAAAACAAACCAAAAAACAAATCAACTGAGAGCCCTTTTTTGTCGAGCAGATATATTCAGTCCTTCATAGCCAATTTGTGTGCAGAGCAGGTCATAGAAATGGCCCCCCAGGTTGGTGAAAAAAATGATTAGGCGGCGTCAAAAGTAGCCTACTCGGTTTGGGCTAGAAATAACACACATGCCTGTGGGAGATTTCTGCCAGTGACTTTCATGATATATAGCAGTATCCAAGTAATTTGGATGCAGTCAAATGAGAAAAACGCAGTTGATGTCGAAAGAGGAGTAAATTTCTTTAACATTTTTAAAATATGGCATTCTCAAATCTACATGTATTTTTCTTTTCCAAATTCAGAATAAAAAAATATCCAAAGAATTTATTACTTGAACTTCCTTGAACAAATTCTGTCAGTAATTGGACTGAAGAAGCATGACACACATAATTTCTAGTGTGAATTTTTTGAAGTCCAAACATGGAAATCATTTCAAAATTAATGCGCGGTTTAGACAAAGTTAGTTTAACTTCTCTTAGGTCGAAGAAATACCAGGGAGTACGTCACGTAAAGGTAAATTTTTGTGCCGGGAAGGATGGCTGTAGTCTGAATTTTGGGGCACAATCTTAATGCTCAACCAGCAATAAATGAGCAGGCACAATGGAGTCTGGCATACAGACTACAGAGAGTGCAGACTTAATAGGAATAACAGCTTGGCCACAAGGGAGACCTTGCCAGGGTCCATTACATATATAATGACACACACAGGCAAGGGAGATACTTTGTTGACTGTTGTCTGCAATTCTGCTTCTCTGGGAAGGCTTGAACAATTTTTCCATTCAGGCCTTGCACTCAGCAGCAAGGTTTCACAATGCTGAATTTGAATCTAAACGACCAGGGTAGTGGTGTACTTTACTTGTACAGTTGGAGGACCTGACCCAGAATTCAGACTTTTGTGGAAAGCCCCAGAACAGAACTCTGAGAACAGTGTGGCCGTTCTAGGTGTTACCAGGAATAGGCATTAACTGGAATAAGTGTGCTCTTTTTTTTTCTCTGGCTTTTGCAGCGGAGTTTACCACAGACGTCAGGCCTGCCGGCCATGTTTACCGAGAAGCTGGCCCCAGAGACAAGCAGCAAGCCATGCAATGGACAGCCAGCCCAGGAGAATCACCACGAGGATGAGACCACTCCGGTAAGATCTGACCTTCCCTCCAAAAACAGACCCTTTAGTAGTAGTGTTCATTGTCCCCATTTACACATCTAGAGAAGTTGGGGGTGGTGTCAAAGGGTTGCAAGTAACCACTGCATGCAAAGAAAGCAACCAAGAGGTACTTGCTTGTAGACGTACATGTAAATGAACAGGACAACCTCAGAGGAGCAGTATTTATTTGAACCGTCGCTCAGAGGTACGCTGAGGAATTTTCTTCCAAACAAATGCGTCACAAGATTTCATGCTCTACCATGTTCAGCCAAACAAACATGTCTGGGACATGCCGATCGGTGGAGGTCATCGGTCGGTCAAGAACCACGCAGTGCATGTCTTATCTGTGGACTGGTTGGAAGTAACTGATGCCTCGCAGTGCTGCCCTTTGACGCCCTGTGCTACCCCACGTGCCCCCTTTGCCCCCCCCCATGGCACTGCCCTGCCCCTCTGCCCGCCCCGTCAAAATGGCACCTCAGGAGAGCACTTCACACCTTTCCGTGCACTTTAGCAATCAATCATTCAATTTATCCAATCAGCTTCTTTTTACACAAACAAGCAAGCCTCCCTAAAGAGTGCAAGAAACTCAGTGACTATAGCGGAATTAGTTTTCTTGTTCCAGGGCATTCCTGATGTGTGTTGGGATGCTTGGATAATCTCATTTCAAAACCCTTGGACATTGTGCCGGTGTTGTGGTATTGCTGAGTCCATCAGGAGTCCTCCTCACTAGTCTGCTTTGTTTCCTCTTGGTTTCCCCATAAATCAATGACAAACCAGTGTCAAAGTCAAGTTAGACATGTAAATGTAACGAATAAGACATTCCTTTGTTGTCGTTCATCTTCCTGTGGTGCTCGGTGACTGGACTTGTGAATAGATTGGTGGTGGACACAGTATAACCCCTCATGACCCCATGCCCATAGTTCTGTGGAACTTTCTCTTATTGCCTACTGCTTGTATGGGTGACCAGAGTTTGCCGAAAGTTCATCCTTGGTGCAGATTTTGCCTCAAAATGCACGTTCACCCCAATTGCATTATGGGGGGGGAGTATTTCAATTAGTATTCGGTAATAACATTTTATGTGGTGTTTTGAACGAAGTGTGAGATTTTTAAACTCTTTATGAGCTTTTCCTTTGTTTTGTGCTGCCATCCAGCCATACTTTTTGCTTATACCCACTGATTGGCAGAAATTGCGACTGTGATTTGTAGCAACAGAAAAGGCCATGTTCATTCTTTTATCCTTGTACATCTCTCCTCTGAATTATTTCAGTCTCTCACTTGTGCCATTATAGTCTTGATCTCTTGGCCAGAGAGCACTTTTATTTCTTTGCCATTTTTTGGACCAATGGAGTTTTACTAAGTCCATTGAGGAAGAGACTCTTCTTTGTAGAAGCATCAGTTACGTCTGAGGCTCAGTTTTTATATGTCTGCGGTCTGACCAATCAGGAAGCTGGCTTGAAATCAGATCAAGGAACACTTTCAGACAGGAAAAAAGAAAAAGCAGTGCTGCGTCTACCCCACTGAATCTGTCTTGTGGTCCTGTACAGAGTGTTTATGGAGCGGTTCCAAGATTTGTTTTGATGCAAATGGTCTTCATTCTATCCGATGATGTCTTGGAATTGATAATGCCGACTGGGCTGGCCCTCAGAAATCTTTTATTGTTGTAAGCTTGAGCTTTGACTTTCGTTATTTAGTCAAGAAAACCACGTAGCCATAAGAGCAAAAATAAGGGGAAATCAGTTTGGCCAACTCCCTGGATCATGCTATTGCATGGGTAGCACTATCCCTTGAAAACCACAGTTGTTGATACTGCTAAACAAAGTCATAAAAATCACACCTTCTAGGAATCAGCCTGCTGTGAAGAATGTTTTCTTGGTGTTGTTTACCAACACTGCATGTTGATATCTGTTGATAGGGATAGTAAACGCTTAATGATATGACAATACATGCTCAATGGTCTATGTTTGCAGCATTGCATACATGGAGGAGATTTAGATAACAACCTCTGCAAAAGGGCATTGTTGGGACCATCTTTGTTTGGATTCACACCCTTGCACTAAAATCTACACATCATTGTTATTCCATTGTGAAATAATAAGATCTGTTTTGTTAATGGACTGAGGATTAATAGTCCCTGGGAAGTGTTGGTATCATTTGTTGGTAGGGAGTGTACAAAGCATTGTGTGTACTGGGGTTGAGGTGTACTGAGAATACTTGGATTAACATTTGATGAGTCTGCTTCAGGCTGGAATTTCACACCAACTCTCTGTTCCAGAATGTTAAAAGAGAACACTTTGATAGCTCCATGGGGAGACTGTGTGCCTTTGTTTGAGTTAACTGTCTCCTTTGTATTGGTGCAGTTGGTTTTTTTTCCTTATGCTGCAGATCTCATGGGGAACAAAAAGTTACATTTAAATGCTGTAAAGTTTGTTAGAGAGAAAGGTTTTAACTGTAAAGGAATAAAAGATTGTAACCTGCTGAGCCTTGAGAATGATTGTACAGATCTGGAAGAAGCTTCTAGACAGATTGATGAAAGTGTACTTTTCAAATTGGATAGTTCCGGGTTCATCAGCAGAGGTTAAGCCGGGCAAAATTGTTATCTGAACTTTTTTCTTGACAATCTGATTAAAACTTCTGCTGGGGATTTGTTGTGTGTGTCTTGCATGGCACTGCGCTCTCGTATCAGGTCCCACGGAGTTGTTAGGCTAGATGGGCCACTCAGTCATGAGAACCGTTCATTCAGATCCACATGAAGCCAGAGTTTGTGTTCACATGCTGGGATAAGCTGTGTCACAAGGCAAGCCTTGTAAGAAAACACAGTGTCATTGGAACAAGCATGAGGCCGCTAATCCTACCAAGCCCTCCTCAAAAAAATGTCACCTTTACAATCCGGCCTGTTGGAATATCCGTTATTGATTTTCTGAACAAACCCACCACCCATGGGTGTCTCTTTCCTGTGTTGCATACCAAAGTTTGCAAATCAATGAAGTGCACAAAAAAAGGTCTATCAATAAGGCTGAGGGTTGCCGAAGGGTCCAGTGATTCAAAAATGCAGGCTTGGATCTGTGTTGTTGAGGATTGTAGCTTAACGAAAACGACTTTGATAAGTAATATCACTGATTATACCTGAAGATTTCTGAGGAAAAATAATAACAGTGAGTTGCAAAAGCTTACGAACTGATCGGCAGATATGTCGTTTTCTCTATGGCAGAGATATTATAATGCATTTTGATTTCATTTTAATCTGGTAACTAAATATTGAAATCCTGTCTAATTGCATGACATTTGCAGTATTTCTTCTGTGGAATGTCAGTATTGAGAAGCACTTGGACGCAGAATTAATGGAGCATAATCTAATAAGCTTTCCTCGCTGATAAAGGCCATTGTCAATTTATAATATTGAAACAAAGCTTTTCTTGTTGAGAATTTGAGTCTTGTGCAGGGAGCAATATCCACCAGACCACAACTTTCCTGAAGTGCGCCATTGTTTTGAAACTAAATCTAAATAAACAATGATTCACTAGACAGTATGAACAAATCTTCAAGCAACAATTGACTCTTTGTGTGTCATTATGATCAATTATGATTCAACTCAGTAATATTTGTAAGTTGGTCCCACCGCATGAACTATAATTTGTTCACCCTCTATCCACCCCACACCCTCCACACCCCTCTGACTCACAGTAGAGCATGCCACTTCCCACTGTCAACTCTCACTATGCAAACAGCCCTGGAAGTGTTTCTGGACTGTTCCATTTTGGGCGTACTCACTGGTAGAGGCGTCAACTAGGCATACCAGAGTCCCTCATTCATGGGCCAAGGGGTATTACAGGCCCTGTCCTGCTTGTGCATGGTGTGTAGACTCTATTGTCTGATTGTCCCAGTGTTTGCCTTAACAAATTCCAAAGAGTGTGGGAAAGTCACTGAAAACCACCAGCGGGGCGGCACTAGATTGGAGGCAAGGTATTTCTGGTGGAGTGTGTGCCACTCTCAATGCACTGCTGACTGCATGTAGCTGACTCACTTATCAACACACATGTATCTCCAGGACTATAATTAGATTGGATAGATAACCACTCAAGTACAAGTTCAGACAGTGGATTCATCTGTGATGGAGTTTGCTTCATCAGATAACTTGTAGCAGTTTGATGTACAATTCTTGAGGCTTATATCAGAGTTTTGCCTCACATGTGACCATCTGTGCACGTTCACATTGTGGTCTATGCAGAGCAAGACTGAGACATTCTGAGGAACAGGAAACACTTGACACTTTGATAGAGTGATTTCAGTCTCCTCAAAGCCTGTGGAACCGGCAGTGTTGAATATTGTTATCACCGGTCTGTGTCTGTGTATACATGTGTACCTGTGACAAAGTGTGATTTAAGAACTGAGTGACCTCGGGAGATTAGTCAGGTCAAGTACAACAACTTCTGCCGGCAGTGGTCTTTCAGTGCTGGCAAGGGGAATACCGTCCCGGCCATCATGTCACACTAGGCCAGGAACCACAGCGTGGAGAAATTCCCTCCCCTTCCCAAGTCCGAGGAATTATACCAAAGGATTCAAGCACCAGGAAGTGAAGGATTTATCACCCTCATTGCTCTCCTCCTCGGGAGAGGTTGTGTCCAGTCGCGTGTGGTGTTGTTTGGATCTTGCCAAAAACTAGAGCCATGTTGAAGTTTGTGAGTAAGACGCCCAGCCCTGTGAAGCCGGGACAATTGCCCTGGGACCAAAATAAGCAGAAATACGGGATGTACATCTTGGATCTCAATCAGAATTATGATAATGTAAGTATTTGGACATGGTCAGAGTCTGAATATATACGTGTATGCCAGCACTAGTTGTGGTGGATTGTGCCTGCGTACTCCTTCACTTCAGTGGCACATTTATTTTAAAACTGATTACAAAAGTTTTTTTGTTTTCTGTGACAACATGAACAGAAATACCAACATTTTCAGACCACGTCTGATGAGTGGACTGGATAGCCCAGGCTATAG